TTCTTTTTTCAATAAACTAAATTAACCAGTCTTCCATTACATTGTATCACACGTAAACCTCCAGCCAGATTAAAGACAAATTTTTCTCTCGTTTGCACCGACGAGGTCGTAAAAAAGAAAAGACGAAAAGAAATCGAGAAACAAAAGTTATCGCGCGTATTATACACTTAAAAGTTTAATGTTCCGATAAAATGGCGGCGTGACGAGGAAGCGTTTAAACCAGCAGCGAAACTTTCTCAAGGGAACAAGAAACTGCGTTAAAGTTTCGACTTTAAACTTGCCAGAGAAGAGATGGTGCCATTCTGTCTTCTCCTGTTTCGCTTGCCTCGCGTCAAACATTATTATTGTTCCCCTAGTTGCCAGCTGTCTATTGTCAACGATACACAAAGTGAAAAGAAATTTGGATGTTTTCTCTGGATGTTGCAGAAAATATGCGTGTTCCAAAAGACGCTGGAGGATCTTTCGTCGCGGATGGCCGGGGCCGAGGCGATCCAGAGCGGTTGGCAGAATCCGAGCGACACGAACGAGGCGACGGAATTGCTGAAGCAGTTGGAGAAATTCGGCGAACGACTCTTGCCCATTCAGAGGAGCATCGAGTACGCGAACGATCAGGCGAGCGTCTTCGCCTCCAGCAGCGTCATCGTTTCTCATGCTTTGCTGGCGAAACTCGAAGATCTCAACACCAGGTGAACTCTCATTTCGTGAACGATTCCGATCCCCCCCCCCTCTCCTTTCTCAATTTATCGCGCTGATATGACTCCTTCGTTCCTGAATTTATCACGCTAATGCAACGTGTAGAATTTTAAGGAGAATTTATCGTTTTCTCTGATCGTGAGAGGTAGAAGAGTTCCGCGATAAGAACATTTCGGAGTTCCATATTTTCAATTTGCTGAAGTATGTCTATCCTGAACTCGAGGATATATTTGGACATGTTCGTACGAAGCTAGTGACAGAATGTATGCGTCATGGGTGTCTTCTACCGTTGGTCTAATGACGCATACGTATGCGTCATCGTTCCTCCGCGAGGAGATTTGAAGGAGAATCTCGTCTTCACAAAAAAAAAAAAAAGTATATACCTACGTAAATTTTCATTTAAAATATTAAAAACACGCAAGGAGAAATAAGATATAAAGCATATGGAATACTAAAACCGGACATTTAAATAATACCAAGATCACGTCAAGTTGTAATCTTCATTTCGAGTCTTTAAGGATAGCAGTAGGATTAATCTCGAGAAATATTAACGGCATAATCTGTGTCCCCGTGATAAGATATTTTCGTAAAGCACAGAATGAGATCAACGTTGAAAGCTTCGACTAAATCCCTGAGACAAACTCTCATATCTACTTGCGGCTCGTAGAATTTATTCACGCGGCCTCTCCTCTCCCCCGTGACGTTGATTATTTTTCGTTTGAAGACGCTTGAGATTTTTCGTATTTTCTCGCAGGTGGAAGGTGCTGCAAGTGGCGGTTGACGAGCGTTACAAGTTGCTAAGCGGATTTGGAAAGGATGGCAGCACTCCGGGTAGCCAGGCTTTCCTCGCGAGCAGCGTGGAACCACCATGGGAGAGAGCCCTCACACCCGCCAAAGTGCCTTACTATATCAAGTAATCGATCTTCCTTCCAAACCAAACCGAATCTTGCACCGTTGTTAAATTTATCAGCACCCACTGCCTAAAATCCTACGGAACGTGATCTTAAACGTAAACAGACGAATAATCGATGAGACAATCGTGACTGGTAGAGTGGCACGTAAGAAGTTCGTCGCGATGCGTTCGAGGATTCCTCCAGACGAGACGCGAAAATTTAGTCGAGAGACGATGAAACGATAGAAATTCCAATTTAGATTGGCGACCGGATTTGAAACCGAGGCGAGGCTTAACTCTCGACTGACGGGCCTGGAATATTGATTGCGTAACTGGTAGCGATTGCTAGAGCGAAACGTTAATCTTGGTCGAGGAACAGAGTCCCGTTTATTGTGCAATGGCAGTCGAGTCGGTGTTTTAATTACGTTTTTTACGACTGAAAGTCTGAGTAACTGTGTGTAGTAATTGATATGAGAATATGATTTCAATGTACGTATTATTTTCCATGTTAAATGAACTGATTAGTATAGCGCTATACTCGACGTTTTTGTTTTTTCGAAATCTAGTCTTCCTCCGTCTACAATTTAAGTTTAGATATAAGATATAATATAATACGGTATAATGTAATATGAATTTCCAAGTTTCTAACTAGATTGATGC